GTATTTTATAAAAATACACTGTTCACTGTGAGTCTAAATTGGCACATTTCTCATTTTGCTCTCCCAAGGCAGTAACAATATAAATAAAAAAAAATAATAGTTATTTACAAAAAAATAAATAAATAAAAATATTTTAATGATTAATATTGCTTGATAACAATTTACAACAATCTTTTATTATTTAAAGAAATTGTAACATTTGTTTAAGAAGTATATCAAATTATTAGTTATCAATATAAATGATTTAAACCTTAACATATTATTTTTTTTAAAAAATTTTTTTAATTATTAAAATGTTTTTTCTTTTTTTATAAATTTTCTTTAAATTTAATTATATATAATAATTAAATACTTTGAAAACACTTTCAAAATTGTAACATTAAATTTATAATTTATAATTTATAAGGGTTGTTTAATTACTTTAATTTTTACTATACAGTACATAGGAAGGGACTGACTAGGAGAGATGATCAACGACGGTAGCTTAGTCACCCGTCGATCCAATTACCCAAATGACAATCACTATCATGACGATGATTTCTTTAATTATTGTAATCAGTGATTTATAAATGATCACGCAACTTACATGTAACAATAGGTTTTTCCTGACACTAAAATAAAGAAATAAAAAAACATTTTTCCTTCCAAATAGTTGTCCAAAACCACATAAATTCATCAAATTCATGCCCTTTCCGCCTTATCTAACCCAAAATGCTCACCCCTACTCTTACCCCTACCTGAACGTTACGCTAGATCCGAAACGCCGTGTCGCCGCGAGAAGACACCAATACCATGAGTGAGATCGTTTGTTTAAATTGCTAAAACGATCGAAGGATTTGATTTTGTACAAGCATAACACATGGGAAACGCTAAGGTGTTCAAATACCGATTTTTAGATTTTAGTGGCTATACTATACGTACGACTTAGATCCTTTAATCCTTAGGCTATTGCCGATACACCATGTGATTCAAAAGCATCATTTAACGTATATGTTGTACCTTATTGCACGACTATAAATCAGGATTAGATATTAGGTTCATAATGACATATTGATCTATTTGTTTATTTGAAAATTTATGCGCGGCGGATGTTTTTTTTGTTGATTTTTTTTGTAACACGTACTAAATTTTCAAAGTGTAACCGTTAATTGCCAAATCCCTAAATCGACTTTAAAAATGGATCCGGCAAAAGTTTTGTGTATGATAAATTTACGATTATTTATAAGTTCTTTACAGTCCAAAAAAAAATTATTATTATTGTGGCTAAAAAAGGAAACGTATTGTTATAATAAGTAAGTGCGAATGCTTAATTCATATGATGATGTTTTAGAGAATAAATACTTGGAAATTATTGCGCCGCGCGGATATCCATTCTTGGGACGCCGAAGATACACAATGGGATATTACATGATTAACGACGAATCGACAAATTAACCCCCCCAAAAACAAATATATTTAATGATTCATTTTGACAAAATTTCTTGCATTTGCTGCAAATAAGTATCAAATGTAATGATAGCAAAACAAATGTTGTTAATATTATTGTATAAGCAATATTTGTTTATTCAAACACGCTAATTATCAAGATCCTAATGGCGTGATTGCTTTTTTGTTAATTTTTTAAGATTTAAATGACATTCAAGTTTCATATGAACTA